GAAGAGGATGATGTGGACAAAATACTCATTTGCCTAATAATTCTGCACTCCCTGTATGGTCATCAAAAGAGCAAAATACACTAAACAAAGTGAATGTAGGAATTCAGGAATCATGTCAGAGTTCAGAGTGTCTGTGCACTTTGCTCTCTAGTGGCCTTTCATGTCAAGCCGAATTTATTCTGTCAACAAACACGAAAGTTTCAACGGAAATACTGAGATGGTTCTCTCATTTTAACTATGCTGTGATGGCAGTGAACTCGGAGCAGGTAAGTTTAAAATCAGAGGTTAAAAACTGAAAGTTAAAAACAGTTTTCTTTTGTTGACAGTATATTTAAAGAACACTTGCAATAACAGCATTTCTGATGATACAGACAAAAATACTAAACACTCAGTAAAACTGTGTTCATTGTATGCAGTATTTATGTCTTATCTTTTTCCGATGAAAAAGGTGAAATAAGACTGCATGGGTAAGCACAAAAGTAGCGTGGACAGTATTTTCCCTGGAAATGTTAAGTACAACATAACTGGCTTCACACTTTTGTTTTACAATGACTAAAATAACTTGACCTTGAAAATATTTTCTTCCTGGGATGTTCTGCAGTCGATTCTGCAGCATTAAACAAATACTGGAGGCTTCCTCTCAGACATGCCTGGGCTCTTTTTATTGTTGTGTGCACAGGGAACACAAGCTCATGGAGTTGCTATAGCAATCATACCACAATATGATATTTTATATCATTTAAAAATGAATACCGGCATTATCTCAGACGATATGATGCGACACAGGTCTAGCTGACACTGGACGTATCGATGGGCATCGAGGAAATGCCCTTTGATACGTGCACTGTTTCTTCACGTCTTTTGAAAAGGTGTTCCATGGCCTCGGATGGGCTTGGAACTGTGAGTCACTGGCAGTTTGTCTGTAAATGTCGGTGAATGAAGCAGCTGATCTGCTCCCAGCGTTGTTGTCCCTCCTCCTTCCTCTCACCTGTTTGGAAATCAATCCTCTGAAACAGGCTATGAATATTTCATCAGTCTGAACCTGAGCTCAGAGTACACTGTGAAACATTCACATTACAAGTCTGTACAAATTAGATGAACTAAAAACATAAGTGCAGATACAGTTGTTTTTCCCCCACCTATGCAGCTGATCATGTTAAAGCAATAATTATCAAACATTTTGTACCAAAGGGGACAACCAAGATGTCAACCAAATCTCTTTACATATAGACAAGCATTTTTCTCCAATATTTCGTGCTCAGTAAGAGATGATCTGAATGGACCTCTGTGGTTCAGTTTTATCCCAAGAGATAACCCTACTGTTTCAGACCATATTTGCTCAATAAATGAGGGCTTCTCTCCAGCTCTTCCTAAAGTAAGTGTTTCTTGTGGTGCTATGGACAGAAAAGGTTCACACAGATACCATCTGCTGTGTTTAATTATTCGTGCTGCTTGAGAAGCATCTCACAAACCAAACAACTAAACCGCCAACACAAGGCTCTCAGCAGTGTTACAGTGTGGTAATCCGGCTCGATCCTCGGCGCCTGTCAGAGGTTTGAAACGGCTTTCCGAGAGTTTGGGCCGAGCGCCAAACCCGACAGAGCAATCATCGAGATGAGGAATGATAAAAATGACTCAGCAGCTACAGAAATTAATGATGTTTTATGTATTGCTGGAACATTGGATCCAGACCTGAATGTTGGACTTGAGTTTTTATTCTTTTATCTATTTTATTTAACTTGTTAATCTCCCATAATTTGAGCAAACTGTCTAAGCCATTGGTTTTCAGACCTGAATCTATCAAACGTTTCCCATCTGAGCAGGATGTTTCTGCATCACCGGAAGAATCAAGTGTAGAAGCTTAGCAGAAACTCATGTTTGCTTATGTTATGATGGTAGTTGTCTCTGCTTTTCAGGGAGACTCAGTCTTTTGTTATCATGCTTTCATTAGCGGGCGATTTGGCTTCCGTGTGACGTTTAGCCGACCCTGCTGTGCAGCTGAGAGATTATCGGCCTCCTCGGGTGACAGTAATGTGATCCAGGCTGTCACCAACACATTCCTGCTGAATGCAAACTGCTCTGACCAACAGCAGAGGGAGTTTAGTTTGAAGTGTGGAGATGCGCTACAACCTAGAAGGAGCAGGAATTGTGGATATTTACCTGAGGAAGGTTTGGGAGTATGGTCACAGTTTCAATTTGGGTGTATTGAGAAACTTTCAGGAGCAACTGAACTGGAGCAGAAACCAAAATGAATGTGTGAAGATATAGGAGTTCAAGGCTTTCACAGTAGTATCTCGTTTTCTTTTAGTTTGATGAATGGAGAATTTTTAATTAAAGTTTAATTTACATGCTTTAATGGAGGGATCTCAAACTTGTTCTTGTTTATCATGAACTGATCCATTGCTAATTACCACCTCAAATTAAACTAAATATATTTTGTGACAATAAAGGAGCAGTATCAGTATCACTGTCTTTCAGTGACTTTCTCATCCCATCCACAATCTGAAGCTGCTGTTTGTGACTCGTTCAGCTCTCCACCTGCAGCAGGTTCTGGAAGCAGATCTTCAAATCAGATGCAGGACTGCTGGGTGCAGTCCAAGAAGCTGGAGTTGGAGTTGGAGTCTGTCATTCTGCAGGATGAGAGTGGTGACCAGATCACTCTATGAGGAAAGCTCAGTACTAAGTGCTTAACTTTCAAAATGATAGGAAGGGGATCAAAAGACAATGCATGTTTAAATTCGTTGTTTAAAGTCTGGCCCTCTGAGAATGTCCTGAAGTATTGCCCGTCCCTCCCCCAGATGGTCTAAATTTTACCCTGTTGGGGGATGAGCAGACGACCCGTATCCTCCTGCTGGGGCCTGATTTGGAGTGCTTCCCAGACAATATCACCCCCTCAAACTTTGCTGAAATCCTGTGAGTCTTTATTCTGGCCTTTTATAATAAAGACCAAAATTAATCGAATCTTACCGTTGTACTATCAGTAAGCAAACAAACACGCTTTGTGTTCTCGGTGCAACTCTGTGTCAGAGGCTGCTGAACTCGGAGGTGTCCCGTCAGCAGTTAGTTAAGAGGAATGTTCCTCCCTGCTGTCAGAGAGAAAGTGTGGGCCATCTGTCGTCCCGAACACAAACAGGAGTCGCAGCTTCTTTAATGACCACATGCTGGGGCAGTTGTTTTCTTCTCACCCTCCCAGACATTTTGTTGGCCAGTTGCTGCTCGGCTTCTGCATAACATCATCATCATCTGCCATTTGTTGAAAGCTTGTGTGCTAAAACTCTAACATTTATTTTTAGTATGATGCAGGATTCCTGTGGGTCATTAAAGTCTGAACTTAAATCAAGAAAAAGAACTTGTTGAAATGTTTTGAACAAAAACAATGCTGTGGAGTGAACTTTGAGATGGAGGATTTCACGCTGGCAGAACGGAGAGTTGTAGAGGCTGTTGAACTGTTAAATTGCTGTAGACAGTTCTTCTCTTTAGCGTACAATGTGTGCACGTATGCTTAATATTTTTTTTTGAGTTTTTCATATTCTTCCCAACCAAACACATCCAAAAACCCTGCAGCGAACATTTTCTGTGCTCATGTGTGTCAGACAGTAACTGGTGCGTGATTGCTCATTTTATTGATCCAGCTAAGAGAACTCTTTGAACTCGTTCACAGAGGTCAGAGGTGAATGTTGGGTGCAAAGTGGCGCCGCTGAAACGGGCGCCATCTCCCTTGAGGTCTCATGAGGTCACAGGGCTGAAAGTGGGGCGCCCAGTATGACCATACCGGGCCACCAGAGAAAGATGTCATTAAGCATGCAAACCTGCGCATTAACCACTACTGGCAGAGCTATTAAATGTTAAATGAACCAACACTTTATGGTTTGATGATTTGAGTATTGAGTATTAAGTGACAGTAGCCGTAGATTTGTGATGATGGTACAGAGGATTAGTGCTACGAGTTCAATACACGTGAGCTCCCCGACGATGTTCACATGCACGCGTGTGGTTGAGTTGGCTGTCAAGGATTGATTCATGCCAGAAATTCAATTTGTTCTACACATGTGGGGGGAAAAGGTCTCATCCTGTTCCCTCCTTTCACAGTAAAGCTCTCTTCTCGCATATTCTCTGTTGTGATAGAGTAAGTCATGCATTAATAACTACTGCTTAAATTGTCAAATGTATTTCTTCAAATCAAATTAGTTTGAGTGTTGTTCCTGCAAATGTTTCACAATAAAAGCCTCATTAAGATGTGAAGGGTTTCTGTACAGTTACAAGTGCTATAGGACTTTCAATTTGAAATATACAGGAAGTGTTGAGATTGTAAGAAACAACAAAATGAGGCGACTGTAACAGAGAGACTGAGATTTTAAAAAACTAAATGGGGCTAATTAAAATTGTCCTAGCTATCTTTAGCTACTCAGGTAAAGTTAGATAAATAAAATCAGAAAAACATTATACTTGAAACAAAGTCTAGGACTAACAAACAGACAGTAAGTTATTGAAAGAAACGTATTCCTTTATACAGGAATGTGTTTCTTGGTCTGTTATTAGGTGACGAAAATAGTTTGCTTGTTGGTTGGTTGACGGAGGTGATGGATTTAAGAAAAGGTGTGGTTTGGTGAGCTGGCAGGACGCTGCCAGGCTGTTGGCTGTCACAGTGACTGATTGAGTCAATAAGGCGATGTTGACTCAGCAGCTGTTTGCTGTAAGACCTGAATGGATCATTGAGAGATGACTTTCACTGAAACTCAGATGCTGAAGTCATGCTCTGGTTTACTTGCATGTGTGTGCCTTAAGAACTCCAGGCTGGTGATCCATGATATACAACCTAGAAATGTGAGCGATCAAAAGCACTTCTGTTATAAAACACTAATTGTGTTGCATCCCTGATGAATTTGTCAGTTTATTCAAATAAATTTCAAACCTGAGTTTTGCTGAATTAAAATGGTGAATTTCATCAATAACCTGTTCTGTGAACATTAAATGTGCTTCATTGTCGTTGTCTCTCTCAGGTCTGGATGACAGCCTGCAGCAGTACATCCCATCCTTCCAACAGCTGCAGGTGGATGGGGAGAAGCTGCTCAGGATGTCCCACCAGGAGCTGCTGTCTCTAGGTGTGGCGAGGGTTGGACACCAGGAGCTGATCCTGGAGGCGGTGGATCTGCTCTGCGCTCTGGTCAGTTAGAAATCAGAAAATCCCACATTCTCTTTTTACTTCTGATAACGTTCCTGTTTAGAAATGTTCCTCCACTATATAACTGTGGATTTCAGTGTCCGCTGTCATCACTCATGAGTCAGCATGTTAAATATACCTGTTTCAAGTCCTTTGAGATATGTCTTTAGCAGTGTTGACCTCCAATTCTTGTTCAATCAAACCATTTCTAATGATGCTGATGAGAAACTGCCAAAGCTTCTCTCTGTGTGAGACTCTGCTGAGATGGTGTCTGGACCACACAAACACCTGGCTTGTGTTACAAACCATAAAAATGTTGTAGGCGAATGCATGCACTGGAGTTAACTGAGTTAGCAGTTAGTAAAGGGGATATCTCAATTTGAGCTTCACAGTTTGAGCTTCCATCCATTTTTGGCCACTTGTCATGTTTTTCTGGCTTGTCCAGGGAGTCCACTCCAGGGGAGACTCAGGACTGGAAATGCCTTGGAAAGTCTGGAGAGTCCAGGAAGGAGGGAGGTTTGGGAATCTTTGCTTAGACTCATTGGCTGATGCTTATAAGTTCAGCAGTAGAGCAGAAGATGATCCTTTTCTGTCCATCACTGATGGCAGTGCTTTAAACCTTGTGTAAAAGTTTCTAGAGCAAAGATTTGTTTCTTTTAAATAAATGTTTCAGTTACATTTAAAAACAGCACCACAGCTACCACCATGCACATTACACGCTGCCTGAGGGGGCATTAAAACAGCTCAGTGTTCATCATAACAATCATAAGACCAGTGCTGTGATCAGAATCCTACTGCGTCTGATATATTTGGACAGTTTTTCTCAGAAAGTCTGAAAACTGAGCAAGAGAGGGATTTTCTAGGAAACTACAGAGTTTATCTTCGGTTTATTAGGTTTAATGCCACAAATGAATGAAAGTTGAGCAGTAGTTTGTGTTGTGATTCTCCTGTCGTGCCCTTTAGTGGAACTGAGTTTTGGTTTAGTCGGTCGTGGCTAAAAAGTTCAGTATTCCTGTTTTCACTCAAACAAATCAACGGCAAACATTTATATGATTTCTAAAAAAATTGTTTCGCTGTGAAACACAGAGCTGTGTGATATGTTTTTAATGCCCAGAAGGTGTCAAACGGGAGGAGAAATCTTTGTTTAAAAGCACGTCAGTTATGCATGAAAATCAGTAATGAATGAAATAACCAGTGACTTGAGCCGATGACACGTGGACATTGAAACAAAGAGACGACAGAAGAGTAAATGATCCGGTGACTCAGCATGGAGAACGTCATAAGAGGAAACTTCATCTATCATAGAGTTAATATTGGAAGGAAAACAGAAAGGGTAGTAGTGATGTTGAAATTAAATTATCCTGAAAGTCACTCCAGCTTAGGCTGGTTAACCATATCTAGACACAAAGGTGGAGTTAACTAGCAGGTAGGTTGGTTTGCAAAAGGCAGACTGGATGTGCGAATCACCTGACCCTGAAAAACTAACATTGAGGCTTCATAATAGCTGTGTAGTGGCTGCAGACTTTGGTGTGACCCGTTTAAAGTTTTGAAGCACACACAGAGCCCCTCAGTCAGCTGTTTATGGGCTCTAACGTCTGTGTGGTGGTGAAAAGGGGGATTTACAGGCTGTGCTGAGGTTTAATGTTGTGACTGGCCTGAATAGGATTCAGTGGCTTTTTTTAAATGGAGACTGACACTCTGCTGTACCCGCCAACAAATGGTGACGATAAAAGAACAAGTGACCACAACAGACACTTATCAACCGCACTAACTACAAATTACTGTGTCCACCATATCAACTTTTCTCCAGTATAGTTGTTCAGATTGTCTGACTGCTATCTGATAATATGACATTTACACGCAGACATCTGTAACTGAACTTTTCAATGTTTGTTTAAATGTGAAAAGCATTAAAACACAGAATACTTCATTGGCTGAAGAGAAGATTCCTAAAACTCCCAACATTTCAGGGAAAAGTCTTTTTTTATATATATTTTTATATATATGGCTTTTCCTCATAACAGCTGGGGCTGTGCGATATAACCAAAATCTCATATCCCGATATAAGAATTCTATCATCCGATAACGATATAAATCACAAAAATGCAACATTTTCTGTAAATTCTGTGAATCTCGGGCAGCTCGACTTGCGGGAAGTGTTTCCAGCTGCGCGTCATGTAGCTGGAGTCGAGTGTTTTAACCGATGCATGAAACTATACATTTTTAGACATAAGTTGTAACAGCCACCGTTTTCTTTGTGAGTATTAATTACACGGCGTGCTGCGGGGAAAAGCCTGTTCTAACGTTTGAGTCTAAGGTTTATTTTTTAGCACTTGACGGCTCTTTTTTACTTCTCATCCGTAAATAATCTGCTCTTTCACGTGATTCAGTTTATTTAGAAAAGTCTCAACAGGATCTTGAGCTTTATTGTGAAAGGTTTATGTGGAACATAAACAAGCGGACACGCGATGGCGTTACCGTCGTTGTTCCTAACCACAATGCATAAAAAAAACAGGCGCTTGTCCGTCCGTAGTGTGGTTATATAAAATATAAGAGAAAGAGAAAAATTTAGGAAATTAATATAGCCACTACAGTGACCATCAAAACGGTGAAAAAATATTGCCGTAAACAGTTTATTTTGCGACACCACGAAACAAACGATAGCATAAAATGAAACAATAGATGTTTTTATATCGTCATCCGATATATATCTGATCCCTCAAGCCATCCCTCAAGATTTTGTACATTAAAAGCAATGCATTGTCCGGGATTGTAACATTTAGTCCTTTACTGAATCAGCGGAATCGTTAGTACAGTCAGTGGGGAATTTGCCCAAATAAATGACAATTTATTTGCTTCTGGTTCATAACGGCTTTGTCTGTCATATGATTCAGTCTTTAGGAATGTCATAAGGAAAGGCAACTTAAAGAGTGCTAGTCAGACCCCTCTTCATACTGTATTTGTGTTTGCAATTAGCTGATCTTTATTAGATTCCTGACCCCAGGTAAGGCTGAACAACCTGACAGTAGCGTATTTCAGAGCTTTAGTCTGTATCCCACATCCTCCCTCAGCCATGTGACGGGCACAAGCGACGTGTCATTTCCTGAAATGCTTTCACTTACCTCTGGAAAAATACAGTTATGACATCACACTGAAACTAACCAATCAATGCTGCGATCAGAGCACACACAGCTCCAAAGTTTCAGGGAGCGTTTTCCTGCAGCATTCAAGCAAGGTCAAATGATGTGTTGTGGATATTTTTTGCAGCATGAGGTAGAGTTTGCTGCATTTTGGGGTGGAGCAGGAAACAGATGTGACCCTCCCACCTGTCAGAGACCCCCCCCACCCTTCCCCTGACACACACACACATTCAAACAGTTTTCAGCATGTAGAGGAAGAGTTTTGTTCCAGCGTCTTGTCACATGATCAGTTTTCAACTGAGGCTCATTTAACAGAACAAGAGAGGCCTTTTCTCTCCCGACTTTAACCCTCAGTACATACCACAGACTTATTCTGATAATTGGAGTGACATTAGGCAGCCACAGGCTCTTAATGACCCAGATTTTGTGAAACAATCATGATGCACTCAATGATCAGGGAGGCCTGCAGTTGGGTTCACCGCTGTTGAGGGAAAAAGATGTTTTTGTTTCAGCTCAGGTCTCCTGATTGACTGGAGGCAGCTGTCTCTGTTCCACAACAGACGTAAAAAGAAATTACAGAGATGATGCTCTGGGGATAATAATGTGGAAGAAAAGGGGAAACGAGCATTGTTTTATACTGACAGTTACAGTAAACATTTTCTATAGATTTCGATGTGTTTGGCATATTAATTTATCCAGATGTTGGCAAGATTTCTGGTTAATGTTGCATTTTATAAATGATTTTGTGTGCAGATTGTGTGAGATAGTTGTTCTCTCCTTTCTTTATGATTTTTGGCAGTTTTGCCTCTCCATATGAAAAGAGTGGAGCTGACACAATTAATCTGCTACCAGAGAAGCTTCTATTTATGTGAGATGATGGAAATTTGTTGGTTCAGTTTGTTCAAATGTGCAGATTGGGTACTTTCTCTGTTTTTGAAGACCTTATAAATTTTGTTTGATCTGTAATACTTCTAGAGATCTTTCACTTCAGTGCCGTCATTTTTTGAAAGTTTTAAAATACTTGAACCTCCTAAAAACCTTCTGATAGTTATGCTCCTTGTTTCACTCCATCACAGCCCAGCATCATCCTGAGCTCTTTTCTGATTGACACCTAGAGATCACATCCTTTCTAACACGATTTGAAAGTTCTGCCTGAAACATGAGGTCAGGTGTCATGTTGTGCTATGAAGGATGTGTTTTCTGCGTTCAGTCAAGGTGGAACGTCGATTTGGCTCCAGATGTTTTGTTTGTCTTTGAGCGTCATGACGCCTCAAACATCTGAATCGCTGCAGGCGACAAAGCGAATCAAAGGTCGTGTTCAGACCTGCAGATGTAATAACACATAAACGTAACACATCTGCACTTATTCATGAAAATAAACAAAAAGGTATCAGATTCATTAAACTGATTAATTAAACACGTGGCATTGATGAGTCATTTCATTGTGAGTCATTTAGTTTGACGTTGATGTGGTGGGGAATTTTTTTTTTTTTTTTTTTTTAGTCGCATAATCGCTATGGCGACTGGTTTGCAGGAATGTGTGTGGGGTTTTTGTGTGTGTGTGTGTTTTCATTAGGGAGACAGGGTGTGTTTGTGGTCAAGGGTCGTGGGAATCTCTAAATTCCCTCCAATCATTCCTGAACATTGTTGTGTGTTCTCAAACAAAAAGTACTTTGAGGTGCAAAATACAATGTGGACTCCTCAAACTGCAGCTTTGTGCAGTGTAACGTTTCCGCAGTGCCTCTTTCAGAGTTTCCTGTGGCAGCATACTTGTGCTAAGGTTAGTGAGCCAGGAAATAGTGACAGTGCTGATGGGAAGTGTAGTCTTTATGTTTAATAATTGAGTAAGAAGCAGGTTTGTTTCACTGAATCTTTCATCTTTCTTTAACAGAACTATGGCGTGGAGTCGGACAACCTGAAGACTTTGGTGGGGAAGATGAGAACAGCGCACCACAACCTGAGCAGCGCCGTGACGCAGCGCAGGAAGAACCCCGCCTACCACAGCAAAAATTCCAATCAGCCCACCAATGAATTCCTCACCGCCGTGGTCGAACTGATCGGCACCGCCAAGAATCTGCTGGCCTGGCTGGACAGGTAACCACGACGGCATTCAGAGTATCCTGGTATTAAAAACGAAACATTATTTGCTCATTAAAACAACCGCGATCTCGTAAAAAGCATAAAAATAAAACTGGATACCATGATGTCACAGTTGATGTTTTCATCCAGGCTTTCTTTTGAATTTATAAATTTAACTGTACTTGCATAATTGCTCACACAACACTTTCACTAACATGGCATTTGTTTTTATTAACGTGTCAGTCAGAAGTTCACTCATAACATGCAGCTCAGTGCACAACTTTGTTCCTTCTAAGATAGCGGTTGTACTCTCCCCTCCGTTCTGATTATTTTAGTATCGTGTTTCCTCGCAGCGCTGCTCCAGTTTACTGCATCGCCGCTTTGACTCCTTCAGCTTTTTTGCAGCTTGTATCAGCTTGAAACACATTCCAGCTTGGCTGCAGCAGCTGGAAACAAACATGGATGCCCCATAATGCACCTGACATCTGAAGTGTGTCAGCTCGCTCACCCAGAAACACCTGGGGCCACTTTTTATTCAGTCTCCATCCAGTTATCTCGTCCAAAAAAATGTCATACTCGATATGTTTGGGTTGGAACAGCTATTATGATCTGAAGTTAATGAAAACTTTCATTAATTTCTTTGATGTTCTGTCCTTTTTTAAAATGTGTTTTAAAGTGTTCAGCATTGCATGCTGTTTTGTTTCACTGTTTTTCACTTGCTTACCATTGGCTGTTCATGGCCGATCAGTGTGAAGCAGTAAAAGATCAGAGGTAGTGTATAAAGAGACCGAATAGTCTGTGGCCCTGCTCGTATTTTGAATCCGTTTTAAAACGTTGCCCTGTTGTCTGCCAGCCCTGACATGATTCTATAATTTTAGTTTCTCTCTTCTTGCTAGGACTCCTCTGTCGAGTGCCAATGACTTCACCTCAACCAAAGGCAAGATCATCCAGCTGTGTTTGGAGCTCACCTCCACCGTCCAGAAGGTCAGTGACGCTCAGACGCCGCTCTGTGTTTTCTTCAGTGTTTCTGTGCTTTCCTGAGTGATTAACAGATCCACTCTGGGAAATACAATCTCCACATGAGACCTTAAAAGAGAAACAGATCTCTGATGTTTTCTGTGTGCAGCAGCTTGTCATAAAGACACATCAGAGAGGAAGGAGGTCATGAACTAAAATGTTTATTTTCTGGATCTGTTGTTGTTGGTGGTGATGATCATGAAGAAGCTCCAGATAACTACTGTATACATGAGCACAGTCATTTTGATCTCCTTCCGATAGCTGAGATCCTTACATGTTTCATACTTTAGAAACTTTGAGATTATTACTAAAATATAAATGAAAGCACAAGATGTGGAATTGCAACAAAACCAGTTCATGGAGAGTGGGAAATGTCAAGTACGTGTCCTGAATACATTTTAAAAGTTTTACATTTATAATTAAGAAGCATCCCAATTCTGTGAAGACGTATATTCATGCACCATCCTAAAATGCTGCTGCCCAAAGAAAATGTCATCTAAGCAGTTTTACGCTCCTTAAGGGACAGAGTAAGCTATAGACTGTATTTAAAAGATGGACACACCCCCGATGTCAGCTTTTGAACACATTTTAAAGCCCCAGTTTTCATATTTTGGTAGTCCACTTTACTGGAGCCAGAAGTGACCATTTGGTTGAGGTAGTGGAGCTAAGTTATCAGCTAATGCTAGCTGGCTTGATTATAAAACCTGCAAATTTCTCTTAATTTCAATGTCTTTACCACACAGAGGAATAATATTTGTCAGAAAGTTGCATTAAAATGCTCTAAAAGCACTGACAGCAAAAACATAGTTGGGAAGTTTACCTGAGGTGAAGCCTAACAAACGGAGACTGGCTACAACCACTCACGTGCTTTTCACCCGTCATTTAAAGTGACAGGCCCCTAATTATACACAAGCATAAACTATTAAGAGACTTTTTAAAAAATTCACTCACTGTACAGTTACCATGAGGAGGGGAATTAGCGTCACAGAGCAGTTTGTTTCACATCTCCTTCTCAGCTATCAGTTATCCCATAAAGAAAAGTGAAAAAAATCAGGTTTTCTCAGCTCTGTTAATGCTAAATCCACAGCTTAAGGATCTATTCTATACAAAGTCTTGTGCAACCAAGCATAAAGTCATGAATCAGTGATGAATTGTATGTAACCCTTTACATCGTTGCAGAGTCTACCTGAGGCAGCCGTGCTGTCACACGACAAAATATGAGGGAACTAATTGTGTGAGAAGTTCAAACATGATGCATATTAATGCAGCTGAGGCGTACAGACATGTTTTATGCAACGGCAGAATACTTCAGCTGCAAATCAGCCAGACGTTTCATTAGTTTAGAACTTTTTGTTTCAGAGCTTCACATTTTGCAATAAGCTGGATTTCTCTTCATTTATTGAAGTATTCAGAAGCGGACGTGCACTTGGAAGTTTTCTGCAGCGTGCCACCTCCCTGCATGTGTCTGCAGAGCCTTCTGAGGCGTCGCCCTGCTGCGCTGTCATGCAATCATCCTGTCAGCGTGTTTACGGGGAACTGTTATTTCTCCAACCGCAGCAGGAATCCTCTCGGTGTCTCTGGGAGGCGTTCACCGTCCCTGCCTCCTGGTTTCACTCTCCTGTAGGCTGTCATTTCACAAATATTTGTTTTGCCGCTGATTCCCTTTCTCCTTTCCCGTGTCTGTTTGCCACACTCACAGTTCTGGCTTCTGAATGGAAAACCTGCCAAATTTGATATGAGCAAGTTCTCCTTTTCCCCAGATGTGAAAATGCTCCACTGCATCTGTTTTCTGAAACAAAAAACTTCTTTAACCATCAAGATGAAAATATTCTGTCTGCTGTACAGTAACACGATATTAGCCTGAAAGTTCTTTCCAAATACAGAACAACATAAAAATAAATTTACTGTCGTCATGACTTTTAATTCTCTTCCATAACTAACTGTAAAGGTATGACTGTCAAGGCGAGACCCCATACAAAACACAGCTGTAGTTGTTTGGCACCAGAATGTTGTGTGGAAAAAGTCTTATTCAGCAAATGATTAAAAAATTACAATATTAGAAAATTGATCAGAAGACAGTAAGAATAGGAGTTAAAGAAGAGGAGGTGAAGCATTGATTGATTGGCATCACTGAATGACATTGTATGGAGATTTTGTTTGATATCAGATTTTACAAATTCAGTCTTCTAACGTGAAATATTACCAAGGACATCCAGACTTCAGATCTGTGTTCATGAACTTCTCGTCCATCCTGACACCTAATTCAATTTAGTGTGAACAGTATTTGCTTTTGAAGCAATACTAAATTGGGTCACATAGTTTAATCATGTGACTCTGTTTTCCTTACCAGCATGGGTAATTTCCCAACTCTTATCAGTTGTTTTTGTGTCATACGCCACTTCAAAATAAAAGCATACAATTTTTTTTAAAAAACCAAAGGCAGGGGCTGCCTTGTTTCTCTGATATTTTTTTTGTTTTCTCTCACAGTGATGATAATAAAGCAGATGTTGGACAGATGTTTGTGAGATCTCTTAGTCTCTGTGTTTATGTCTGTAATTCCAGGACTGCACAGTTTATGAGATGGAGGAAAAGATTCTGGAAGTGGTGAGTGCTGCTTTTGCTTTACTTTCCTCTGTTCGAACATAGTAGAAGGTGTGTGTGTGTGTGTGTGTGTGTGTGTGTGTGTGTGTGTGTGTGTGTGTGTG